ATGTCCCATCAATACACTTTTCAAAAGTCTGGTTTTCATTTCAAACGAAACTGAATAGTGAGTGGAGTCTCGGAAAGCTTTATAAAGGAAATGTATTGGGAAAGCATTTACATAGGTCTGCGGAATAGACGTTAATAATACAATGATAATAGACTTTTCTGCCTAAAGATTCCAATCCAATCAGGTGTAAAATGCCATTTGGCAACAAAGGCATGTGCGAAGCATGAAATTAAAGTTAACACAATTCGGTTATAAAACGTTAATAATTAATTCTCGTTTAAAACTTAAAATACTTTTTGTAATTTTCCTCATAAATTGTGTCTAATTTCAAAGTCTACTTCCTCATTGTGAAGGCAGTGCGCTTGCACACCGCGGCAGTTAGCATCAGCACTTTAGAAGTTCATCACAGCAAATGGCCAATGCGACAAGTGAAGCCCCGTATGCTGGGGCGGAATATGAGCCATAACTAATTTACTGGTGTTTGTTGTTGTTTGTTCTCGGCGACCTGCTCGTTCCTTATTTACTACATTTCACTGCAAGGCCTAGTGTTTTTTGCAATGAGAAGCAAAGGCACTGCCTCGAATATCAGAGACTTTCCAAAGCAATATGACAAAGGTGTCTCTTCTGTCTACAAACAATTCTTTCAATGCTATTAACTGTTCTTTGTTAAGTTCCACAACATGTGGAAAATTGAGTACTGTTTAAACAGCGTCTTCAAACTCAATCGTTACGGTCCCCAGCATTAATTTATGTTGTGTTCTGTTCCATGTTTTACATCGGAGCAACGTTTGTTGTTTCGCTGTGTGACCTTTGAACGTACAGAAATCTGTACACTTGCTCCTGATTGGTTGATATCAGCACAGCAGAATGAGGAGAGGGGCATACTGAACCAGACTGAACCGAGTCTGGTATCCAGGGTATTCGTATCCCCAACAAGGTCAGCCCAAAGTCGCACAAAAAAACCTGGTCGAGAAGAAAGTCGTGCATCATATACACATTTGAATTATGATGAGAATTCATTGAGAATTGATTTGTATGTTTTCGATTCGGAAATGCTAGAAAATTCCTAAATGAATAATACTTTCTTTGCAACCAGGCGTCGTTAGAAAGCTATAGATCAAACGCTTGGTCTCAAACAGAGGCGTTAACCCTTGATCCCATGCCACCTGTCCATTTCAATGCCTCACGCCACGGTACTGAAAATGTTGAGGATCTAATTGCGCCGCACATCTCTAAAACCGTCTTGGGCAGTTAGATTTTCAAATGATGTTCGCAAAAAAACAGATGTCGGGAACATTAATGAGGAAAACAAATGGGTCTATGTATGCAGATGACACGAGTCTTTGGCATCAATCGCATGATATCACTCAGCTGAATGAGGCCATCAATAATGACCTTGCACACGTTGAAAAATGGCTCAAGGGCAACAAACTTTCACTGAATGTAATGAAAACACATGCCTTGCTTATTTCCACCAAACCTAAGCATAAATCATTGAAGAATCAAGACGAATCTTTAAAGCTAAAAATTCAGAACAATGAGCTTGATGTTGTTCAAAAAACCAAATATCTTGGAATACAGATCGATAACATATTAGATTGGAAGGAACACACTAAAACAATTTGTTCCATGGTCTCCAGAGGAATTGGCTGTTTAAAGCATGCAAAATCCTTTCTGCCAAAAGAGACTCTGAAGACTATGTACACAAGTATTGTGGAGCCACACTTTCGCTATTGTTGTTCGGTGTTGGGCTGTTGTGGTCTTACCGAAATCAAACGCTTACAAAAACTACAAAACCGGGCTGCTCGTATTGTATCTGGCAGCAGTTTTGATGCACCGAGCCAACTACTCATAAAGAAGCTGGGCTGGATGACCATAGACGAGCTAATCGCTAACGAGTCAATTATCATGGTCTTCAAATCAATTCATGGACTGGCTCCACAATGCATGTGTGATCTTTCACAGAGAAATCCAAGTTAAATTCTAGGAATCTTAGGAATACATCAACTGACCTAAGGCTACAAAAGAAAAGCTCCAAAAATGGGCAGAAATGCTTCTCTTTTAGAGGTGCTGGGTCTTGGAATGGCCTTTCAGCTGATTGTAAACAGGCATTTTCTTTGACCAACTTAAAAAAATTCTTGTGAAATTGTAAATAGGCGTAATTGAAAATTGTAAATTGTATATTGGAAATTACCATTTCGCCTTTCGTTATAGATATTTGTAGTAAAATTAAACTCAAGTTAAAATAGGATTTCTTTTAGATTGTAAATATTGAATTGTAATTAGCATAATTTGTTTTTTATAATAATTTCTGTAAGTATTTTAAGTGGAGGGCCCCTTGAAAATCAGCATTGCTGAAGGGCTACCCTCCTTAAACATTTGAAATGAAATGAATGAAATACAATGAGAACTGTGAAGCTTCAAACTTAACTTTATTGTTTTATCGAAATTGTTATTGTTTTGAGATGATCGAACCAGTGAGAGAGACGAGTTGAGGAACACGTTGTTGTGCAGTGAATTTTGAGAGATCTTATCGTTTTATCTAATGTTTGCTTATCGCATATCTTTTGTGAATTTTGTGTCGTGTTTCATCTGCAAATTTGCCATACAAAATTTGACTATTCTTTTACTGACGATCGTTGATTCATCTTAAATAACTACATCAAATCATTTTGAAATTGAAATTTTTGCCTTTGGAATTTTTGATTTGTTACTTCTAGACGAAATTGTCTCTTAATAATCCGTTTTCTTGAAGCTGACATCTGCACCTCAAGCAAAAACTAAGATCATGGTTATCCTTTTCAAGCATTGGGAAGTGAAAATAATCGCCTTTCAAGATCATATGAGATAGCCATTAGCCAAATGCGTCAAACATAGATGTTTTCGGAATAACTTTGCCAGCAACCAATGATTTAATCCCAGTTAGGTTTTATCATTATTCTAACAATCAAGAATATATTGAGGCAAATATAAAAGATATTGATTTTCTTTTGGCCAACTATATAAGTGAAACAACGAGTGTTGTTTTTGGATTTTTTTGAAAATGCAATGTGCCAAAAGATCTTAATAATAAGGGGAGACTTCGGGAGGTAAACTGACATATTGTTGGTGGAGGTTCTACAAAAATTTATTTTTTCTGACGACTTCATGCTATTGCAAAGGTATGTTATTAATCCAAATAGCGGGATTTCACTAACAATGCTAAATTTATTGGTAATAATGAATATGATTTTGGTTCTTCGTAGTAAATGGTCCTAGGAGTCATAGGGGGCCTAGTGTCATAGGGTCTGGTTTTTCCAGTTTGACCTCGACGGCGTCCTTGCATTCATCGAAGGAGGGCGAAAGCAATTCGAAAAGAATTTATGCTATAGAGTTTGATGATAAAAATTTGTGCATAAGCTGTAGAATTGGTGGTTCCAAGAGTTGTTGTGTGTCAAGTGCAGAATTTAGTTTGTTAGAGAAAAAATGATTATTACCCTTCGAGCCATGGTTTGGGTAATATTAGCCCAGTATTTTGTTAGGCTGAATATATCAAAAGTACGCTATTTCCAAGCAAACATCGGTCAATTTTATACAGTTGTAAAAGGCTCAGTTTCTACATATCTAGACAGTTATCAGAAAAATGTAAGGAGACTTTGGCGCTAGATTCAAAGAAGTTAGTTTTTTGTACAATCAGCCACGTTCGTTCTCTTAGCCAAAAATTTCGAACAGTTCAGTTCAGTTCAGTTCAGTTCAGTTCAGTTCAGTTCAGTTCAGTTCAGTTCATATATAATATTGTCAAAACATTAAAATAAACTATAGGCTACAAGTTGCAATACAAGTTTAAAGACCAAACACAACTACAGAAAATTTAGAAAATTTGCATGAAGAGGCATTTTTGAGGAGGAGGTCTCTCAGTAGCAAAGCTAATCGAGGAGAGTTCACTCCCTTATAGGAAAATTTTAATTCATGGATATAACTAAGAAACGTTTTGAGGAAAAAAGTGATGATTACTATCTATAATCTGATACAATAATTCTTTTCAAAAAGAAAGGCTTTGAGTCTCGGATGAAAGATATGAACAGATGGTGACCGTTTTATATCTAAAGGAACTTCATTCCATCACTTTGATCCACGGTGAGGTATGGATCTGAGCCCATATTGATTGGTATTTTTTTGAGTTAAAAATATATTGTCCTTGCGAGCCTGTGGTGTACCATATTGATGAATGGACGCCACAGATTTAAACGAGTTGTGGAAACAAGTAGGGGAGATTTTATTGACAGAATCATAGACAAAAGTCAGAAGTTTAAGTTGAAAGAGATCATGAAGTTTAAGATTTTCAAACCGGAGAAGATAGGAGTTGAGTGCGAAGTAAAGTTTTCGAATGCAATTGCCCTTATAACCCGTTTCTGTAATGGGAATACTGGATTGATATAAGTTTCATATGTAAAACCCCAAACTAAAATTCCATTTTGAATAAAAGATAAAAATAAAGAATTGTGAAGACATATCTAAACATTTATTGGTAAGAAGTGTCTTACTTTGAAGAACATGCCACAAATTCTTGCCAGTTTTTTAGAAAGCTCAGTCAAATTATATTTCCAAAAAAGATTTTCACCTAAGAGGACTCCAAGAAATATAGCATAGCAAATATTTTTGATAGGAAAAGTTCCAATTTTGATATTGATTATTTGAGAGGAGGGGTTCTGAATAGACTTGAAGGTAATAAAATTTGTCTTATCAATATTCAATGATAATTTGTTAACATCAGGCCAAAATTTAATTTTTTTCAATTCATTATTAACTGTTCTTTGAAGCAAATCAAGATTATTAGCTTGACAGTAGATATTGGTATCATCTGCAAATAAGTAGAAGGCAACGCCCCCGCAGAAACGCCACTTGAAGAATACATTTCTTAAATATTTTGTTCTGAATCATTTGCTATGCAAAGCTACAGTTTTGCATATAGATTTACACCAGATAGAGAATCCAGATATTACACAAAAAGAAAAGCAATATTGCATCCCCAGCTCTTGTATTTTATGCAATACAGTAAATCTGGCAAAAGCTGTTCTTAAAGAAGTTAACATTCGACACTAAGCTCAACTTCCCTAAGTTTCATCGCAAAGGAGCCTGTACTTCCGGACTCGATTAACTTGAATCCTTTGAATTTCTTGCCATTGTTGGTGATTTCAAGCTCCTGCTCGTCATATCTTGGTAAGATTCTGTAGATGTAAGTAACACAAACTTTCTTTTCTTTAGGGATGGTGAACTCTACTGTTGAGCTTGATTCGTTGTCCTTGCCCTTCGTATTTGTTTTTGAATACTCTCCTGTCACACTTAGCTCACCACTGACAAAGGGTACACCTAGAGTAGCAAATAAAAATGAGGAATATATTTTAGATACTCTTTAAATATCAAAAAGTACCTCTTGAGAACACAAAAACACCCATTTACATAAATAAAAACTAATTGAATAGCACAGTGATTTGAAGATGTCCTTAAGGTAGTGAGAACTTTGAGAATGATTCGTGGATTGGTTTCTTCAGATCATCTACCAGTCTTTATATACCGGAAAAATTGCTAAATACACAAAAAGGCTTTCACTCATAAGAATGATGAAATGAAAAAGATTTTGATTATATGTAGGAGGCGAAGTAGGAATATGATAAGTTTATAATTCTCATTTAAACAAAATCAAAAGAAAATGGCTAGAATATCTAAAGGAAATTAGAAAAATACAATGTCACATTGTATTTGGATATAAACAAAATGCAAGAGAAAGAAGAGAAAGAGAAAAAGGAAAAGAAGCATTTCCCTTACCTTTTCCTGTTCCTATCTTTCCAGTAGTTGACAATTTCTTTAATATTGACTCAAGTCTTGTAATCTTTTCCGCCTTGTTAATTGTTTTCTTCACCTCACTACTACCACCATTTTCGAATTCATCATAGTCAACTTGAATTGCATTATCGTCAGTTATTACATCGGGTCTTAACTTGTCTTTTGGCTTCACAACTTTGATAGATTTGTTCTGAAATTCAACAATTAGTAATATGCTTAAATCCGAACTGAAAATCAAACCTATAAGGCACCATACCTGGCTCGCTGCGATAACACGCTACTTACTGCTCTGACAGCACATAATTCTTTATCACCAAACATACTTTCTGCTATCATATCGTGTTGGCGCTTTGACAGCTCAAAGAAATATATAAACTAGATAAATCGCTTTATTGAGAAAATAAGCATTAAAGATGTCTTAAAAGTAGCTGAAGTAGCAGGCTTTTCTTATTTCCTGGAAATATAAATAGTTTTGTAACAGACCCATATTAGGGAAGGCCACAGACAAATCTTGTATTACATGCTTCACAATCACAAAATCACATTATAGGGTTTAAGATGTTAGAAACGATGCCGTTGAATTTTTTGAGGTGCAATGAATGAAAAATTTCAAGGTCAAAGGACTAAGGCAATCATCGTTATGATCTTGGTTTATTTTAATTTCGAATGGAAGTTTTTAATAGCTGCAGCTCTCTTTTTTTAGCGAAAAGCGTGCTTATCAGGTAGATCCAACTCAAATACTGACACTGTTTGAGGTTGCACATTTGGCAAGAAGGCCGCTATTTCAGGATAGGAAAAATGGAAGAAATGAAAATGGAGGTTATCCTTGTGACTTTTTCATTCCTCGCATTTTATATGGACAAGTTTGCACAGCAATCACAAAACAGCCACAACGGCTCCTCACGGCTTCTTACCACTGGTCCAAAACAGATTGTACCAGAGATTGTTAGGGGCTCGAATATGAGACTACAACTTCCACTCAAAATCAAAACAATAAGCATCTTTACGATAATCAAAGGTAATTTTTGAACAGGCATTTTTCTATATTTTTCGAAGTTTTTGTTGTTGTCCACTTTCTTCCCTTGCAAGAATATAAGTTCTAATTGTTTTTTTTTGGCCTAGTAGTTTTCATCTTCAGTTAATTCCCCGTATACCCTTCCTTTCATAAGCATTATAAATCAGAGGTGGATCTAGGGTGGGATGCTTTGGTGCTTGAGCACTCCTTAAATTTCCAACCAATCGGCTTCTGATAATGCGGGTTGAGGGTGCTCACTTTTGGCGGGAGCACCCCCTATTGTCAAACATAGTTCAAATTTTAATTTAGGCAGGCGGAAGAAGCGTGTTTCAAGCACCGCGGAGCGTTAAGAAAAGTGGGGGGTCTAAAAAAAGTGGGGGGGGGCTAAAACCGAATAAAAAGAGGCTTTACTGGTAGTTTCTCACTTAGTATTTGTCATTTTTTGCCCCCCCAGCGCCCCCTGCTACGCGGTGCCTGTGCTGTAGTTATTCGTTGTCTAGAAATGGTGATCGGAACTCACAACCAGAAGCTACCACCGGGACACCGGGAAATTTTCCGTTGCGTCCTTTGCCCCCAAGTTATTTTTTCAAAAACTTGAGAACTTTCAAAAGGCAACTAGCCTTCGGATAAAACTAAAACTGATTACAATCATAAATTGACCTCCTGTATAAAGTAGTTTCCCTGAAAAGTTTAGAAAATTCATTGAAAACAAAATTTTCATCAGCAGTTTCTGCAAAATTTTTGAAAACCTTGAGAAAAACATATTTTGTTTTGAAAATGGCTTTGAAAAAAGCAAAAAATTTTAAACAAATTCTTTTGTCTGAAAATCCTCAGAGCATATAACGTTGAAATAAGGGTCCAAAAAAAACAAGATGGAGAATTTGATCCACAAATGGGTATTTATTCTCTATCTTGTTCTTTTCGACACTTATTCTTACGTTTTAAACTCTAAAGAGGTTCAGACGAAAAAGCTTTTGATATGTTAAAAATGTTTGCTTTTTTCAAAGCCATTTTCAAATTTAGTAGCGCCAAAAAATTGTTCATATTTTTATTATTGACAGCAGTAACTGTGGTAACAGCCAGAAAGCCTACTCTCACTTCCAACCCTCGTTGGCTTTAATATTTTTCAAGCAAGTGCGCAATACTTTAATTAATTCGATATCTGTTGAGTGTGTAGTAGGGGTTTTCACTAGCTAATTAGCATACTGTTTTTAAAACCCATGACTTTTGACTAACCATATTAGTTTTTTGACTTGTGACTAATGCGAATTATTTCGAGTATCTGATATTGAATAACTGAGAGGGCTCGTACATTGGAAAAATTAATTGAGCATTACCCAGTGCTCTTTCCAATCAAAATAGTTATAACTGGATAAAGAACAATACTTTCTCAACGTCCTGTTGTTCGCAAGCTATTTTACTTTGCAATTCTACTAAAATCTCGTAGACATCATGTTTTTTGTACGTTACAACCAGCAGTTTTGTTCCCTAAAAAAACTATGACTAATTGAAGCCAAAAATCTTGACAACTTTTTGAAAACTCTATACAGAATTTATTGAGGATTGATGCCCTTATGTACGAGCCTTCTGTAAACTTAACGGAAAGTTAAACCGGCTGTTTTGATAAAACTGGTTTCAAATTTTATCATTTAAGTATTCTAATCTTTCTTCAAACTTTTGTCCTGGAATAGAGACTTTTCTTAAGAAGTTCTTTATCCATTTTACCATGTCTACGCACAGTTTCTCATACCGAAGAAGCCATCAATCTGCAAAATCATCAATTTGCGCAAAACTGACGGCAGCAAGATCTCTTGAAATCCATTTGTCCAAGATTTTTTATCATATATTTTTCGGACAAGTCTACAGTTTTTAAGCACGTGTTCAATACCTGATCATAAATCATATCTTTTGTAAATGATTTACAACTGTAGCGTGGAAGCAGGAGCAACACAGTTTTTAGGCTAGCAGGTGTTAAGGTACCTCTACTTTTTTTCAAAGATATGCTGCAAAACTTTTGAAAATCTATGAGAATAAAGTCATGTATTTCATCAAATTTCTAAAGCTTTCGAGATCGAGTTTAATCGAAAAAACCTCATCTCCTAGGCCAGAGAAGTTGCTTTCTTTGTAAAATCTTGAAAAAAGTGTCTCCCTAGCTGAAAAATGGCTTTGGGCTTTGGTTCAACTTTCAAAATCTATCATTTGATATCATCATTCAGCAGCGGTTTCAGGGACTGCGGGGCCCGGGGCCAAAGACATCTGCGGGGTCCTTGCTCTTTACAATTTCTTTCTTTGTCCTAGGTGTAGGACACCTTTTGGCTACCATAATCGTGGGGCCTGGGGCCATGGCCCGCCTTGACCCACCTTAAAACCGCCGCTGTCATCATTTGATACCTAAAATTGGGGGCAATACTTCATTTGATACCTGCAATTTTATTAGCCGTGTAGACGTTTCAAATACATTTAATTTCACTGAGACTCTTCTTCATGCCAATGAATAAAAAACTTTGATTTTCGACATGGGGCATGTTCTGACATTCTAAATAGGGTGATTTAAAAGAATTTCTGAGGGCCAGCCCCCAACCCCTTGTTTCGTTTCCTATGACAGTGTCTGCAACAAACTGATTCTCAGGTAAAGCAAAGTTTTTCTGAGCTCATTTTACAAGACCCAAAGTTATGCAACTTTAGCACCTATTGGCTGTTTTTCCCGGTTGGTCAAACGGTTGCCAGTCCGCCACGGCTCACAATAGAACTGAAGCGATTTCTTTTGACATTTTAACAGAACAAAAGCGTGTGCAATGATGAGGTGAGGCCTGTATTTGATTTTTATAAACTTGATGCAAGTGATCGAATTTTAAACCTCTGCGTTTGTAATGAGAGCCCAGTCTGTAGAGCATGAAATGCTCGTGGTAGCTTTTGACAAGATCTTGTTTTTGCGAGAGCAAATGAATGTGTGCATGTGCAATATTTTGTGTGCACATGTCACACTGTTAAGACTGGATGACAGCAAGGTAAATTTTGTTTCCGGTGCTGTATATTTAGATTTTCCATTTTAAAGTTTAGGTAATTGAGAAGACATCATAATGTTTAATTGAACGGTGATATGATAAACCATGCAATGAAAAGCTTACTTGTGTACTTGGACCCCTATTATTTCTGCTTTACATTAATGATATATATAACTCTTCAAAAGAATAAGACTTCCGTCCATTTGCTGATGACACCAGTATTTTGTTCGCTGATAAAGACCTTGATCTTATTGAAAGACTTGTAAACTCTCAACTTGCAAAAGTATCTGAGTGGTTATTTCTTTTCTAAATCTAACTTTCTGATTATTAGTCCCAAAAAAGTAGTAAAAACAAGAAATCTCAGTATAAATAATGTGAAACTTAAACAAGAAAATTATACAAAATATCTTGGAATTATAATAGATGAAAAGTTAAATTGGAAACAACATATAAAGGAAGTGAACATTAAAGTATCTAAAGATATTGGGATTCTTTATAAACTAAGACATTTTGCCCCCAAAGACACTTTAAGAATGCTATAAAACTATTAAAATTGATTCAATCCCATGCACTCTATGGTATACTGAATTGGGGATGTGCAAGAAAATCGATTTTAGAACCCCTGAAACGCAACTTACGAAAAGCTATTAGAGTTACTGACTTTGCTCCGTATACTGCTTACAGTGACCCCATTTTTAAACGCTTAAGGCTACTGAACTTTGACAAACTATACAAACTTGGGACAGCAAAATTTATGTTGCAAATTAATAAAGACAACAGTTACACTACTCTTGGACATGAATGTCTAAAAACAAAAAAACTTCATCGTTACAATACAAGACAGTCTTCAGGCCTTGGTTTTTCCCTACAAGCAATATCAACCAACTCTAAAAGAAATTTTCTTACATTTGACGGTATTAAGCTCTGGAACTCTTTGCCACTAGATTTGAAGGAAGCCAACAACAAAATATCTTTCAAAAATAAAATGAAACACTACCTTTTAGAAAGTCTTATCTAATTGAATATGGTGAAAATACCAGCACATACAATAAACCTAAGTTTTGGCTTTGAAAAAAGCAAACATTTAGTAAACTAAAGCTTTTCGTCTGACACTCTTCAGAGTTTAAAACGTCAGAACATAGATCGAAAACTCTACGCTAAGAAATATATATACCCAGTTGTGAATCGAAATAGGCCAATCAGAAACACGAGCACATGACTGTAAAGGTTGACCAATCAGTGCCGCTTGCCTATTAGAACCCGTAAACCCACATTTTCGGGGTTATACACTCGATGGAGTTCGTTTTGCCCAAAACAAAGAAAAATCAGCCTCATCAAAACGCTTACACATAGGGCACTGATGATCTGTTCCAAGTCTAAACTCGACTCGGAACTTGAAAAACTAACTAAGATTTTTCTGGAGAACGGCTATCCAGAACATGTTATTTCAGTTTACTAAAAGGAGAAGATAGGAAATTTCTCGGCTGACGTAAAATTTGGTCCTCAAAAGTGCCCGGTCTATCCAAAACTACCCTGGATCGGTAACAGCTCCCTACGTTTTGAAAGCCAAATAAAACAGGCCATAACTAATTGTTTCTTCGCGGTTAACCCACGTGTTGTTTATTGTACGAAAAAGGCCCTTCCGTCCATTCAAAAGGACTGCGTTCCTGCCACAAAAAAAAATTTCTGCTGTTTATGAATTTACGTGCCAGTGTGATTCTGGCTACGTAGGACGCACCACCCAAAGATTGGAGGATAGGATAAAACAACACGTTTCATCTAATATTAGAAACAAAACACATCCCCAAAGAGAACAGCCACCTCGGTCTTGCAAATCCAAAATTACTAATAAGACCTGCGATTCTGCTATCGGGCAGCATTTGCTAGAAAACCCAGTTTGTGCAAAAAACTATAATGGCGACATGTTTCGGATTATTGGTAAAGCCCGATCGTCGTTCCACCTAGCAGTTTTAGAATCTATCTACATAAGCACGAAAAAACCGCTACTGTGTAGACAAAAGGAGTTCGTTTTCACCTTAGGACTCCATTGGTAACATTCTAATAGGCAAGCAGCACTGATTGGTCAACCTTTACAGTCATGTGCCCGTGTTTCTGATTGGCCTATTTCGATCCACAACTGGGTATATATATTTCTTAGCGTAGAGTTTTCGATCTATGTTCTGACGTTTTAAACTCTGAAGAGTGTCAGACGAAAAGCTTTAGTTTACTAAATTTTTGCTTTTTTCAAAGCCATTTACAAGTTTTGTACCACCAAAAGATTGTTTGTAAACCTAAGTTTCCCATTTTTATCTTTAATGTAGTTTTTCTTTTCTTTATTCATTTCCTTTGCTTTTTTTCTAGTGTCGTTTGCATTTCTATTATCTCATTCTTACTGTTATTCAAACCAAAATTAATTGTAAACTCGTCGTCAAATCACGTCAACCGGGCACATGGCTTTGATAGCTCTATCTTGAAATTTTTTCATGTGTCCGTCAGCTGATTTAATTATATATAAGGTTTTTTTTTCTTTAATGTTCTTATTGTAAGTTTGGATTTAATAATTGAATTTTGAACAACTTACTTAAAAGACGTAACATGTAATTAATTGATTTGCTGAAAACATGTTTTTGAGTTTGAGTTTGAGTTACATAAGATGAAAAAGTAGGATGAAAATTTATAGTCTTATAGGATGTTCTGGCCTACACCTTTTCTTATCTTAATTCTAATATATTTGATTTTATCATTTGGTATTATTTTGAATTCCAGAAGTTTTGAAAAAGTATTTTCAAAAATGTAATTGGTAGCAGATACTAATGAGAGGTTTAGTATGTGGTCAGGATGGGGGGAAGGAAAGAACTATTTTTTACAACTTTCCTAGATTTAAATTGGGCTCTTATTATCAACAAAAAGCTTGGAAAAATGTATTTTGTGAGCATCCTGTTTTCTGTATCTTTTATATTCCAGGCATGGTAAATGATTTCAATCCTAGATGCATGAGAACATTGCATACATTTAAAAAAGGTTATTTTGTCCATAGACCTCTGCAATGCAATTTTTCAACTTGGTTTCCATAAACGATTTGAAAAACACTTGAATCTTAATTAAGTAGCCAAGAGCTCAGCCTTACAGATCTACTGGTTGCCTAGATATTGTATTTTTCCCATAATCATTAACCTGATATTAGTACATAAACTGACAAAAACAATAATGATATTTATTTCATCTATTGGAAATAGATGTATTTAAAAAAAGTTGACAAAGTAGTCAGAATGATGGAAGAAGAAATCAAATATTCATTGTTTTCATTTCAACTATGAGCAAAGCAATTATAATTGTCTCTTTTTATCATTACTTTTGTATTTTATGTATTGGTTTCATTTCAAATAGCACATTGCCAGAAATTGAAAAAAATTGCTTTAATTGCAAATCAACTATTTAGAAAACAGGTATTGACAACCCTCACTCTTTGAACATCCAAAAGAAATTCTAGTCACCATAAATTGTGAAGGGCGTGGCACCAGCCCCACCCAAAACTTAGCACCATTTAAACTTTTTTTCTGGATCCGCCCCTATTATAACCACGATACCTTAGAGCTTTGTGATAATACTATAAGCTCAAAATAATCCCTAAAATTGCTGTAGCGGTATCTATATCCTTAGACCAAATTCCTTTTGGGACCGATTTCATCATTCTTTTGCAATTTTGTCTTTCTTGTCGACAAACAGCAATCCTAGCAAAAGAGTTTCAAAGTCCCGCTTACTATACAAAAATTACACCAAAGGCCTATATATATAGCTAGATTCTGGGTTTGGTCAGTGCTAATTCTTCACAGATAACAAGTTCTCCAATCGAGAATGCTTTTTCGACCGTTAGCGGCGTAAACGACCGCAAAGGCAAAAGGAACGAATCCCCCAGAAAAATTCTATAAAATAATGATTCGGTGAAATTGCAATCATTGTTTCCCTTTTTCTCTTGCAAATTTTCGAACGCAATACCGTCTTAAGCCGAAAACCAACGCCGGAATATGATCCGCGGATCGGATCAGATGGTGTTGTTTTTTCGATCCGCGGATCGTTTCAGATTGGAATGCACGTTGACATTATCTCCACGGGATTCTTGCTTCATGACATTTTCCGGAGTGGGTTTTCGGCTTTAATCTTGGATTTAGCATGTCACTCCAAATCTATCTAAATCTTGAATAGCTCTAAAGCCTTCTAAATCCGTATTATCAGTCCCTAGGGAAGGTGGCGGACTGGGGCGCAAACGGAAGAGCTTTGGAGGACTAATGATGATTGGGTTGGTAATTTTTAAAAGTGAAAAACACTATTAACCACTGATAAGAAAAGTAGAGGACATGGGAAGAGCTTAGGTCTAAAATGATAATGCTAAAGGGAGGAAAGTGGATGGCTGAGGAGAAAATAGAAGAGCTGCGAAGGACAATAATTATCGAAGAAAAATACGAAGGACTTGAAAGAAATTTGGGAAAAATTAATATTGATTGGCAAGAGAAATAGTAGAGTTGGAAGTGCTGGGAGGTCTAAAAATTATTTTGGGTCTTATTTGGTAATTCGTACAAAACTTAAGAAGAAATGGAACGGTGCCATATGTGCTCCTGTAAACGAATAGTATTGTGATTTTAAAAGTTTGCTTTCTTCCAAATGGGTCGGCTTCAGCATTTTGCAAATTCAGTTAAATTTTAAATCGATGTCAGATATTCAATCGAATTTACTAAAATGGTTCATTTACTAATTATTTCAATCACATACCTCTTCAAAATTAAGCTGAAACCAAATCTCTTCAGAACTTGCCCGGTCGGGTCTGACATCCCCTTTGAAATTATGTCCTCCTTCTGAGGCATAAAGTAATTGTCCATCGCATTGGATTTTGTAAATGCCATTTTGCTTTTTGTGCTCGATGAACTTGAATTTGTATTCTTCTCCCGCCCCAAAACCATCACTTCTCATTACACGACGATTCTTCTTTTTAATCCCCCTGGTCACTTGTGATAGGTACAAATAACCTTTATTTGTCGTGTCATCGCTATCTCTTGCAATTATTTTATATTTTCCATCCCCAACATCTTCCAGTTTGAACCATCGCCCCTCTCCATCAGAACTGGGGTCAGTCACCATGAAATCCTTCTTCCCGATAGTCACAAAACGGGATGTCCTAGGGTTGAACAAAGAAAAAACCGCCCCTTCTTTGGCCACTTCCTTCGGTTCCAGTCCTGTTGCTTTTAACATAGAAGGGAAAAAAAGGGCGAATCTCCTCGAGGCCATTTCTGTGGCTGGCTGTAGATGGCTGAGGTGGGTTTTTTTTGAGGTTTTTCCAGTTGCTTCATCGATTTCTAAAAGTGATAAACATTTTAATTTTTTTGCTATGCAGATTTCTCTATCCTCATATGATATTTTTTAAGATGATACTAGAAAAATCTCTTCATCATTTTTATTAGATATTGGATATTGTTTCAATAACTGAAGTCAAGAACAATGGAATAAAAGAAACCTTATTACAGCAGCTTATTATGGTTTGGCCATCCTATACAACCAAATCACATTCACGCAAGCGCAGAAAGGAAAGCTCGCCCCTTTTTTTTGTTTTGGCCTGGAAGCTGCGAATGCCATTAACGAGAGAGAGAGATCAAATATTGGATGACATGTTGCTCTGATTTAGCCACTCCTATTTCCAACAATACTGAACAAATCCCCAAAATGTCGTCAACATTTATTGTTTGGATTTGTTAGACAAAATGTTATACTGGTTTGGCCAGGACTCAAAAGGCTATAAAAATCCCTCCCTTGGGGAATTATGATCGGCACAAACGACAAAGTTGTTCAATCGGATCGCAACTTTTGTTTTTCATTCTTAAGTTGCTCAGGGAAAGTAAACATTTTGATAGGCGTAAAAAAAAATGAGCTAGCGTGAACTGCGAAATTAAAAAACTCAGCATCAAATGTTATTTTGGTTAATTCTAAATGTTCTCTTTTTCGTTTCATCGTGTACTTACTTACGTTTTACAACCAAATGATCTATTTACCTTCTACTCAAGACCCCGTCTCATTGAAGACATGTTCTAAAAGGCCAGTACACAAAACAAAGTGATCAAAGACATTCATTTATAATAGAATGTAGCTTCATTTGATGAATCGTGACTAAAATCTTAGAAATGAAGCGAAGGCGCCCTGAAGCAAAACGTATGCGCTTTTAGGACTGTTGACCTCTTTCACTATTTCACCTCTTTCACCTCTAACAAAAACGTTATTTATCTAGTTTTAAAGATGGCTAGAAAAGGACCAACTTTATTTAATGGTTTTTATGGTTCCAAACAGTAAATCAACGATATAAAAAAGCCTAAAAACCGACTGTTCTGAGCAGAGAAATTCATTCAGGGTAAAAAATAGCTGATCAAAGCCTATTTTTCCAAATAATCCGGAAACTTCAGGAAATGTAGAAATTGGTCTATGTTAGATATATTTTTGGTGAAGTCATCTTTGAAGATTCGGAAGAAGCTTGCAATTTTCTATTTTCTTACACAGATCTCACACAGGTGAATATCGCAGATTTTTGTTTTATTTTTTTCCTCTTATTATTGTTAAACAAATATTGTAAATAGTTCTTTTTTTGCTGAAAGGTAACTCGTGTAAAATATAATATTGATTATTTATATTGACTGGCGAAGATCGCAGACTGGCGAGGATCCCAAAACTGGCAAAGATCGCAAACATTTGAAAATCGCAGACTGGCAATGAACACAGACTGGCAAATATAGCTAAAAGGAAAAGAAAGTAAGCCATCCTTCATTGCGTTACGATTTATTGGAAAAAATGGACCCAGTTGGTTCTAAAACTAGATTTTGCATCAACAGAACTTTTTCAGTAGTTTCTAAAGCGGATCGCAATATTATCAATAGTATTAAAATCATCAATTACTTTCTGTTTTGCAATAACAATTGGCAATAGCTTTGGATTAAAGTTTTGGGTTAAATCAGGTAAACAGCTGAAAAAAATTTTTAACATTAACATGCCGATTTTGTTAGTACAAAAATAAAACATAAATCGAATTAATGTTCATAGGTAAAAGTTTCTCTACTTATAAGCAAACTTCACACATTTAACATTGTGATAACACATCACACTTACCACAGTTCTTTCCACTGCGGCCTTCGAAACAGAAGCATTTTCCAAAAACTTTATCATCGTCTTCAGACATTTTTTTCTCGTCATCTTTCGATGAAAGACACAGTCCCTTGTTCTGGCAATCAAGATCTGTGTCGCATTGTCCTCCACTACCTAAAAGAGACACAAACGATAAACGCGTATAATAGTCCAAGAAATCAAATAATAAACACACTGAAATCCTATTGGAAACCGTGCTCTGCTTATTGGAAACTTCCACAGACGTGTATCAAGAGCCCGGGACGCTTGTGTTTTGACAAAGTTTCTCTGTAGAAAAACTCTGCAATAAGAAGGCACTGGAATTGGGAATCACCAATGTGGCGTGAAAAACTTCCTAATTACTCGGCACTTATGAGATTGCTTTTGTGCGCCATGCCTAACTTGGAGGGGTAGGGGCAGGGTTGAGGAGGCTGCCCATTTTACACTTTTGAAATAGAAATTAAAGCAGTTTAACAGTGATTGCTGCAGCATCCAAGCCCCCGGCTTCCAACGGCACTTTGCTAATTGCTTGATGTTAGTTTTGACTTACAGCGTTTTGACATCAAAACTAATATTCACAAAGAGCAGATTTGTTGTTTTGTAACTTTTTGCCTAAATTAATGCGATTATCGAGTGAGGGGGTAACTTGATGCATACAGAACTTCTTTCTACTTATAACAGCCATTTTCTTCCAACACGACATTGCCATTGACTTAACAATGCCCACCAAGGGAATACAAACAAATCTTCTCAAGCAAACAAACGGTTTCATAAAAACAAATCTAATTCGAAAGGACAATTAAAACAAAATTAACCTAAAGGATGTATAATTGAACCATTGTTACTAAAAAGTCTGATCTGGCATTCATCATTTAAGCTATTGAATCAAAAACCCATTAAGCTAATACCTTAAAGTCAAAATTTTAAAGTATATCCATTTATTTTCTCAAATCTGATATTTTTTCAGCGAAACATCGCCTGTCCTCAAAAAGAATAAACGTCAAATATCGTTGGAAAATGATGTGACATGGACCGTTGAATCCAAGGAACTTAATGAAGAAGGATTAAACCGAACGATAAGATGAAAAATCAAGACTTATACATACTTTTTGACTCTTTTGTTATCCCTGGTTGTGGTAAAACCAGGCAAAGAAGAAGGCTGATAAATAGTACTTGCATGGCTTTTGAATTCTGCAGAGAAAAAGAAAAAAAGTTTAAAGGTTGAATTTATTGAAAGAATTAGAGCTTGGTAACATTGGTTAAATAGAACTTTATGCTCGCAAACAGTGACTCTTCAATGAGAGATAATTGTAACTTTGCCGTAAAGAAAACAAGAGCAGAACTGTCACAATTGTGAATATTTTTCAAGAAAAAAACTCCTACCTGAAGCACGACCGTCTATTCTTTGCGCTCTGAAGAATGCTTATCATCGAAGCCGTGAAATGTTTTTAACACAAAACTATATAACGTATTATTTCGCAATGCAGTAAGGGTCCTGTAACCACCAAACAGGTAAACAATTACCCGCTAGATTAAGACAATGGGAACCCTGACCCGTAGATATTCATGATTGACATTTACTCATTAAATCTCGACTTCACCAACAAACAAGTAAAACAGGTCTCGAACATGCTACCTCTGCCTAAAGTTTACTCCTTCAAAATAAAAAAAAAGTATCACAAAATTGAATTTTGATTCAGTTTAGCTTTGCTCATTTCTCTGCTTGATTGCTCGTTGGGCACAAGAAGGCTTCACTAATAAATGCACTAGAAGATCTTGATAATGTTACTTCTGTTTAGAGTTCTCTCCGTCAAAATAAACAAAATGTATCAGAAAATTGAATTTTGATTCAGTTTAGCTTTGCTCATTTCTCTGCTTGATTCCTCGTTGGGCACAAGAAGGCTTTACTAATAAATGCACTAGAAGATCTTGATAATGTTACTTCTGTTTAGAGTTCTCTCCGTCAAAATAAAAAAAATGTATAACAAAATTGAATTTTGATTCAGTTTAGCTTTGCTCATTTCTCTGCTTGATTGCTCGTTGGGCACAAGAAGGCTTCACTAATAAATGCACTAGAAGATCTTGATAATGTTACTTCTGTTTAGAGTTCTCTCCGTCAAAATAAACAAAATGTATCACAAAATTGAATTTTGATTCAGGTAAGCTTTGCTTATTTCTCTGCTTGATTGATCGCCAGGCACAAGAAGGCTTTACTAATAAATGCACTAAAAGATCTTGATAATATTACTTCTGTTTAGAGTTCACTCCGTCAAAATAAAAAAATGTATCACAAAATTGAATTTTGATTCAGTTTAGCTTTGCTTATTTCTCTGCTTGATTGATCGCCAGGCACAAGAAGGCTTTACTAATAAATGCACTAAAAGATCTTGATAATATTACTTCTGTTTAGAGTTCACTCCGTCAAAATAAAAAAAATGTATCACAAAATTGAATTTTGATTCAGTTTAGCTTTGCTTATTTCTCTGCTTGATTGATCGCCAGGCACAAGAAGGCTTTACTTATAAATGCACTAAAAGATCTTGATAATATTACTTCTGTTTAGAGTTCACTCCGTCAAAATAAAAAAATGTATCACAAAATTGAATTTTGATTCAGTTTAGCTTTGCTTATTTCTCTGCTTGATTGATCGCCAGGCACAAGAAGGCTTTACTTATAAATGCACTAAAAGATCTTGATAATATTACTTCTGTTTAGAGTTCACTCCGTCAAAATAAAAAAAATCTATCAATTGAATTTTGATTCAGTTTAGCTTTGCTCATTTCTCTGCTTGATTGCTCGTTGGGCACAAGAGGGCTTTACTAATAAATGCACTAAAAGATCTTGATAATGTTACTTCTGTTTAGAGTTCTCTCCGTCAAAATAAACAAAATGTATCAGAAAATTGAATTTTGATTCAGTTAAGCTTTGCTTATTTCTCTGCTTGATTGATCGCCAGGCACAAGAAGGCTTTACTAATAAATGCACTAAAAGATCTTGATAATATTACTTCTGTTTAGAGTTCACTCCGTCAAAATGAAAAAAATGTATAGCAAAATTGAATTTTGATTCAGGTAACCTTTGCTCAATCCTTTGCTTGATTTCTCGTTGGGCACAAGAAGGCTTTACTAATAAATGCACTAAAAGATCTTGATAATGCTACTTCTGTTTAGAGTTCACTCCATCAAAATAAAAAAAATGTATCACAAAATTGAATATTGATTCAGGTAACCTTTGCTCAATCCTTTGCTTGATTTCTCGTTGGGCACAAGAAGGCTTTACTAATAAATGCACTAAAAGATCTTGATAATGCTACTTCTGTTTAGAGTTCACTCCGTCAAAAAAAATGTATCAGAAAATTGAATTTTGATTTAGTTAAGCTTTGCTCATTTCTCTGCTTGATTGATCGCAGGGCACAAGAAGGCTTTACTAATAATTGCACTAAAAGATCTTGATAATGCTACTTCTGTTTAGAGTTCACTCCGTCAAAAAAAATGTATCAGAAAATTGAATTTTGATTTAGTTAAGCTTTGCTCATTTCTCTGCTTGATTGATCGCAGGGCACAAGAAGGCTTTACTAATAATTGCACTAAAAGATCTTGATAAT